ATTCCCCCCTCCCCTCTCTCCCTCCCCCCTCCTCCGTTTTGGAATTCTATTTCTAGGTAGTGTTATATCCAAGCTTAGTGGCAGTAGGAGGAAGTAGTTCGTTTTCATGAGTGGGCCACAGAATTATCATCCAACCCAAAGTAAAGAACTGCCAGAGCTCTAGGATTCCAAGCACTAGAGTTGAGATGGTCTGGTGCTTTGTTTGACAACCTACCTTCCACTTACAGTCACCACCCAATGCCTCAATATGTGTGTGTGTGAGAGAGAGAGAGACAGAGAGACAGAGACAGACACTTTGGGTGTCTTCCAGCTTATTTTTTTGTGACATGATTTCTCATTGGAACTTGGGCTTGATGATTTAGCTGAACTAGCATGCCTCCCCAGCACTGAGATTACAGATGTGTACCACCATGTCCAGCTTTTTATGTGGGTGCTAGATCTTGAACTCAGGTCCTTATGCTTATACAGCAAGCATTTGGCCCACTGAGCTATCTAGCCTTTTCAAGTTAGAGTTTTGCTTTCTCCAGTATACTTAGAGTTGCTAATACATTCTTAGTATTGGAGGACATTTTAAGGCATTGCCTCACCTTTCTGTAACTTAAAAAAAAATGTTATTGAGCATTGAGTACCTTCTGGGTATGTGGTAGAGTGGGTATACTTCCATTTATTTTTTCAATGAATCTTTGTAGTAACCTTTGAACAAGTAGGAATTGCAGCATTTTTACAATGGGCATACAAAGCTTAGTGAGATTGAGGTTCACACTACTTATTGCCTACTACCTTGGATTAAAAAACAGATCATTTGCCAGGCATGGTGACACACACCTTTAATCCCAGCACTTGGGAGGCAGAGGTAGGCAGATCTTTGTGAGTTCGAGGCCACCCTGGTCTACATAGTGAGTTCCAGGACAGCTGGGGCTACAAGGAGACCCTGTCTCAGACAAAAAAACAAAACAACAACAACAACAAAAACCCCAGATCAACCCTGGTCTACATAGTGAGTTCCAGGACACAGCTGGGGACAAGGAGACCCTGTCTCAGACAAAAAAACAAAACAACAACAACAACAAAAACCCCAGATCATTTAAACCTTCAAAACTGTGTTCTTGAAGATTATACTACAATTCCTCCCTCTCAGCAATCTAAGATACAGAGGGTAGGTGACATGCTGAAGGCCTGTACAACTACTTGGAATTAGTTTTGGGACTAGAACCCATCTTTTCTGACTCTGGTAATTATGGTATACTGTTGAGACTGTGACTCAGTTGGTTGATTGCACACTAGCCAAAAAGAAACTTGAGGAGATGAAGAAATTGTTAATACTAGTAGAGTAAGAAATGATGAATTTCAGATGATAAGATTATGTAGCTTGAGAAGGAGATAAGGCATCTTTCAAGACATGAGATTGTGATAGAGATTTATTGGTTGATTCCTTTTATTCATTCAGCATATATTTGTAAATACTTGTGGAAGACTGTTCTGAGCACTGCAGATACAGTGGTGAGTGT